AGCAACAAGCATCTTGCACACAAATCTAATCAATTTTGTTTTTAGTTAATCGCTTCGGAGTAGTTTTATCGAAAAGATAATCTGTAATTGAGTACATTTTTTAGTTAGCACCACTCAAATTATCTTCAATAAATCATACCAGTCAGTTCTTATTAAATAAAAGGTGGTTTTTTAGATCTGACCTCAGATACCACTTATTTTCTGCAATGAGATTTAAAATGTTTTAATCAATAATTTAGCTATATTTAGCAAATCCAAAGTAAACTAACTTGTACCATTGTTTATATTGATTAACCAAATATGAGCATAGACACCCTACTTCAGCATCACTAAAGCATTGTTACATAAACTATTAAGGTGTATTAGGGATTTATTTTGTGTCTATATTAGCAACAGATAATTCATGTTGTCAATAAGTTCGTTATTTCGGTAAATACCAAATAATATTGAACAAGAAAGATCTCATAATTGATTTCTAATGTTTCTAAACTATTCAGATGTAACATGATTTGAAGAGGCGATTGAAGTCAACTGTAGACCATTCTTGATAAGATTAACAAACACAAAACGATCGAACTTTTTAAATTTTTTCCTCACTGCAGTAATAAGCTCCGACAAAGTGGACTTCAGATGAACAGTGTGTGGGGATTTGTTTTATATGAATATAGTCTAATTGGTATCAGCTGAAGAATTGTTAAAAATCATGAGGGCTTGGACTGCCGTCTCGATTTAGTTTTAGACCCTTCAACAATGCATACTCACTTCATACCAGGGATCGATCTCTTGACATTCAGGCTTCCAAGCTAGCACGAAGACGTTCCATTATTGATTCGGAATACGTTGAATTCTACTTTCAAGTTCAATCAATTTGTGGTGTTACGCAATTTTTATCTAATGCTACTGACGATATTTATTTCACATTTAACATGACTGAATTACACCGGTCACAGTTTTTCATTAGAATTTCTGAAGATCCATCTGTAAGTTGCTAACTAATTAGTTTTATGAGATTATTATTATCGTTATAGTTATTATTATTATTACTTGGATTAACAGCTTGAAATTTCAGCTTCTCCATGATATTCAAACTGACGTCGATTTAAGATTCAGACTAACTTCCATATGATTAGAATGTTGCTTGACCACATACTTAAACATCAGTACGAAGTTGGCTAAAATCACTCTAAAGGCTTTCACACATATAAATATCCCGATTTTCGGACAACAATTCTTGTTCAAAAGTATCATTTTTATCGTGATATTACAAAGATATTTTTGTGTGTAAACTGAGCCAGCATGTTATCCTTAGATGCCCTTGACTGAATTTAGTAGTTCCCTTGTAAATATAATAATTCAGTTTGTGACTTAAAAAGATGACAACTACTTCGCAAATATACCAAGGTATTCACGGAAACACAAAGTAATCACTATAGGCTCGCTTGTAATTAGAATTGTGACGAATTTCCTTAAGTTCTAATAAGAAGCTATAACCTGTGGAGTTAATTACGTTAATGTTAGAACAGTCGCTTATCGAAAGAATTGGATAAAGATTACAGCATGAGTGGACCGCTGACTTTAAATCAATAGTTTTAGGGTTTAGTGCTTTCCATCAAGTTTGATGGTCCCAAGTTCAATATTTTACGGCATTGCAAATGAGCACTGCAAGGTGATGTCAAACTTACAGCAATCTGTAAAAAATCCCTTGAAGGGTGTATAAAACATTTCCACAATACTATCACATTTAATATATATGAATTATTATTGTTTGATATATTATACTTTCCCGTCTATTAGATTATTATCAGTAATTTTAGATCCGGAAAAGTATATATGCTACACGCCATTTCACACTATTTATTTTATCGATTTCTCTGGTAACAGCCCAAACATTATAGAAGCTATTTACTTATATTCTCTATCACTCTGTCAACGAGTATTTCTCGTTGAATTACTGGCCTGTTTCTGTTATTAAGCACATTTCCAACTCTTCTTTCATATTAGAAAATCACTTACTAGAATATGTGTGATAATATAAATTGATTTGTATGTGTCGATACTTACCATGTACATAATTATCTCTTCATTTAATCAATCAATACTCGTAAGCAAATAGGTCTTAAGCTAATGGTGGTCTAACATTGATCGATTCATGATTTCAACAGGTAACTCAACAATCTCCACAACCCCGTAATGCAATCTGTTCAATAAACTATTGTGAGTGAAAGCAAATTTTTATGATATTGCTAAAGTCTTTGGTGTTTCTAATATACATGATTGTTTGCTAGTATTGTCAACATGAAAATGAACTCGAAAAACTTTTTCTAAAATCATCTAAAATAAGTAGCCGATCAGCCAAATAAAACACTACTTTCAGGAACTAAGTTATTACTATTTCTATTAATCCACCTTTTGGAAACTGTTATATATTAGGCATAATTTGAAGGATAATATTTGCATGTATTTCTTAGTGTGGTTGTTTAAAAGAGTAGAGAACATTTTTCAACTATAAAAGGTTGATATCAATAAAATAAAAAACATTAGGAAGTGACAAGGGCACTACAGTGTGAACAGTTTAGTCTTGAGTGAAGTTACAGGTGTAATGATGGCTATCGCTTTTCGATTGGCCGTGGTGTAAAAGGATACTTCTTTTCAAGGTAACTAGACAGAAAACTGGGTTAGCATCAGTGGTCTTGACCACGTAAGAACGTGACCTCTGTGCTCAGTTGACAGATTTCTGGGTCCTGTCACAGACTTTTAATTAGAAATTAAGTTCTTACTACAGACGCATCATCATTGGCTACGGAGACCCGCTGTTCAAGGTGAGGTATGCTAGTTTTAAGGTCTAACTTTTTCAAACCCCTGTTCTGAGAAGGCAGGACCAACCCAGATAGTGGTTATCCTAGGAATGTACTTTACTGACGTATAATAAGTTGCTGACTGAAGTCTTATCACCCTCCGAATGATATTCTGGGTTTTGTATAACCTAAAGGAATGAGTATCTTAGTCAATACAGTTCAATTAGATCATCACGACAGACAGTCCTAAGCACCGTGTTAAGGTAGCAGCTATGGTCAAGATCTAAAAGATTTTTCTGTTGAACCAACAAAATAGGTATTTGTTAATGACCTTATTCATTTAGTATTTATTTATAGTCCAAGTTTAAATAATCTTAAAGGTGTATGTTTTATTTCTCCACATCATTCTACAAAATCGGTACATGAATTACCATGTTTAACGAATGTGACTATTGTTTAATGGAATCTTCAAATCATAAGTTTTTTAATGCTTAATTACTGCAGTTATCCAGTTCAGTCCATACATAAGTAACTGTTTCATGCTCAGTATAAATTGAACTCTACCAGTCATATTCCCACTAGAATTTCTACGATTTATCTTTAAGCTAGTCACTAACAGATCCGCGATTTATGGTTGGTTCAGTGATCTTTGAAAACTATTTCTGTTTGAAAGTACCACTGTTTTATGTAGTTCATCATCTACGATATCAGTTTACTACAAAACTAACTTAACTTTACAGATAGTTTTTGTTTTAATGATTTTCAAAATTTGCATTACTCACCAGCATTTATTAAAGGAAAAAAAATCAACAACTAGTAAGCATTTAACAAGTTTCAATTTAACATTTTATTTCTGGATATTATCTCTCTTGCTTACTGATCAACATTTCAAATGTCACCTTACGACGAGAGTATAGTTGTGTGTTGTTGTTGTGATTGTTTTAAGCTTTGTCAGTCTATTAATTGCCTAAAGTTCTCAAATCAAATTCAATGGATTATTATTCAATGTTCATTGTACATTTCTCCAGTGAATTTGTTGTTTTTTTTAGAGAATATCGTGTCATATTATTTTCTTGAATAATAGTTTGCTCTATTGTTAGTTGATATTCAAAAATTTCTCTTCATCACTATCACATGTTTTTTTGTTGAGATTAATTTATTTTCGTAGTTAAATTTTTATACTTTAAAGTTAGTTTAGTGTATAAATTACTTGTACACTTCACGTATATTTACTGTCTTATAGATTTTACAAAGAAATTTGAAAATAATGATTCAAATAAAATGACTTGCCATTCGTAGAATGAATACTAGCAGTAGTAAGCAATAGAAAGGTTATTGTAGATCGTCCTTTCAGTAAAGCTGAACAGTCGTTGACTTTTTTCAAGATCTTATTAAAACTTACTTTCTTACGGGTAGAAACTTGTACATTAATTAACAAAGAAATAACTTCTCTATAATTCTAAGTAATCCTAAATATGTTTTATACGCAGGAAAGGTATGTTGCGAAGGCTATCGAATGAGTGGTTTTGAGGTTAGGAGTAGCACTGTAAGCAGACATCGGTCAGTCTTCAAGCTGAATCTAATAGGTTATATACTATATATGTCAGTTCGTTATCTTAAAAAATAATTTTCATTGCCGAATGACATCACCTAGTAAACGGTCGAGAGCGTAGTTCACATTTCATTATCAGTACATGACAGCCAGTCCTAAACAACAATGAGCCAAGGATATTCAGCGTATACAGCTAGCTATAACAGCAAAATAAAGCATTTTATAATATTCTCCTATTTTCACCTGGTATTGTTGCAGATAATATGTGTTATCTTAAATAAACGATTTAGTTCTCTTCATGTATCTCATACTCTCACACTTTATGCTCCATAGTTTACCGACTTTTTTGCAAAGTTGAGACCTTGTGTATAGATATATTAATCGATTTTTCCAGTGTTTTACATGAAACTAACAGAACGATGAGGGAATTATTTTTCGTAGAAAAATTATAAATTTTTTAAATTCAATATAATCCACCCTTAACAAGCCAGTTAAATATGTCATAACAAATTCTATTACTTTCAATCACCGAAAGTATTTGATCATTCTGAATGCTTTAATTTAGAGCTATGATAGCTTTCTTTGATTCTTTTAAGGTTTAGGAGGAAATCAAACTATTGCAATTAAATTAACTTTTTGTGTTTTCTTTCTAGATTGTTATTTTTGATGGTTTAATCAACAACTCAAATGTTGAAACAGTTACTACTTACTTGAAATGAGTGTATTCGAACGTCTTCAACAAAAATTGGCCAAATGTTCCACATCTGTTCGCGGTCAAGAAACTGCACAGATTTATCATAAAAACAACTTCGCCTCATCAGAACAAGCTACTTTTTTGGATAATGTTGTTACAACAACAGAGGATCATCCAACGACAAATACCATTCCACTATGTTGCGATCATTCACAAACTTGGAATGTTGAATCTCAAATGGTTCCCAATATAACCACCAGCCATTCAAACCCATCTCTACACACTGTTGGAATACTTAATTCCAAGATAAACACAACTCTGGAGACAGAAATTAACATGCCCAAATCAAGCTTTAGTCACAGTCAAGATCATTTAAATGCAACTAGTAATAACAACCTTAGCCCGCATCAACGTCAGCAACAACCTAGAAGAAAACGAGCAAAAACCCCAGTTAGTTCATTCTATCGCGTCAGCAGTGATGATGATTGTGATACATGCGATGAAGAAGAAGATGATGATGATGATGTTGATAACAATACTGAAGAGTACATAGATCAGTGTGATGAATTGATTATCAAACGATCTGTTGCATTTGAACGTAGATCACAACGTCTACGTCATAGTATTGATCGGGCTAAAGCAGCGCTGCCTGCTGATTTCGCTGACCGAATCGAGATATCAGATTCGCTTGGTGATTTACCTAATCAAGAATCGTCTGGTGGGACAAATCTTCAAAAACATAATCGAAGTGTTAGCAATCTTGGTGTAGATTTAACAGATCAATTAAGCAATAGTGATTCAGATTCTCAAGAGAATGTAAATGATGTTAATAACAATGTAAATGGACTCTATGAGTCACAAGAAACCTCAAACTCGAATGAAAATCGTACGGAATCAAATACAAAAGAAGATAAACATCGTGAAGTTAGTGACACATTAAAAATCAAGTCAACTGATTTAGTAATACCTCATGAGTAAGTACTTTAAAATAAAAATTTTTGTTATTCAGCTACTTATCACATTGATAAGTACCAAACTTAATCGGAAAATTTATTCACTTTTAGTTGTTGTTGATAGATTTTTCAGCTAATTTAAACTTTACCCATCCAAAAAGATTAACATCTGATTAATGAATGTGATTGCGAACTAGTAGTTATGATTGTTTAAAGTGAAGAGCGCTGACCATCAGAACCGGACTTTTTGATTTAAAGATCTGGTTCTTTTCAAAATACATGAAAATATCTGACTTTGTTTTGCATAAAATTAATACCGAAAATTTCAGAAAGAAGTGGTTCAGCGAAGATATATCTTCAGCAGTTAAGTTTTCAAGGCTATTTGACTGCAGATATTCAGTTTTTTTTAGAAAAACAGGATCATTGATGATTTGTGCTGTTTTATTGCTAAGAATTATTTTTGAAGATGATAGTGAATTTACAATGACGTAAGATATGTTATTCTTATAGAGAACCTAAATTTGGAATTGTAATTGAATTCGAAGTTTATTCAACTATGCCATGAGAACTAGATAAGTCTAATTACTTGCGCTGATAGGTTGCATCAGGTGATGAAAATTGAATTGTACTCAAAAATCAATCATGAAATGAAATCAATTTAAAGTAATAACCTGATGAAAGGAATCCATGACTTATTGGTCAATGCATTGCATACTCAGGCAGCCAGCAAATAAAAGATACGGACCTCGATCCACTCACTCCTCTTAATGAGAAAAATGTTATGGATTTTAAAACAAAAGAATAAGAAAGTAGTAGGGAAAAAGTTGAATAGGTTTATTTGGTAAATTAACATCTATAACAAAGGCATCAGAGATATAGACGTTGGAAAATATGCACTCTGTGTCTGTTGAAATCGAATGACCGGTGTTAATAAAATATCCTGTCACCTCAATTCCAACGTTTTGGAAGTCTCAAAGGTTGTGTTTTGGATGACCACTGAAATTGGCTAGAAGGGATCAATGGACTGGAAAATCCACACTAGAAGTCACTTATATTTGATGTGAACTCAATTTATCAAATGATAAGATCATTTTTTATCCTCTAGTATTATTTATAGTCTCTTGTTGTATTTCATAATGTTATCGTCTACTTTATAAACAATCCACCAGAACACTAATTTTCAGTCAAACATACTTTTCAGTTTTGTGTTGGTTTTCATTTTTCATTGATAAATTTATATGGCAACTATGTAGTAAATCAATCTCTTAATATTCGAGTGAAGACTACAGCATCTTTCTAGTTCATATGTCTTGCTTTCATTTTCAATCAGTTTTGTGAGTAAAATTAGCGGATTTTCCAAACTACTAATGGAAAAATAATCAATCCTCCATTTACTTTTTCTAAGAAGTAAGAACAACCTAATTGATATGAATGTTTGGTAGGTAGTGAGATTTTTGTGGACATTGGCATTGCTGATAGGCTGAAATGTTTGCATAATACACTTACCTAAACATAAAATGATGTGATCAAGTAACTCAGGTGTACTTCGATTTCTGTCATTCGGTATTAAAACGCTGATGTTTTCACCAATTAAATCTGTGTATTGAGAATGCTTAAATTTGAGATTCACTATAAACGTGGTGAAATGGTCTGATTAATTAAACTGTGTTATCCAGTTCTGTGATCGGTCAGTATCATTATCTGCCATTGCGGACAGCAGAATGTAGGCGAATGAGGAAAAACATTCAACGTCTCTGTTATAAAGTGACTGCTGGTTAGTACCCAAATTGAAAGATCAAGAATTACAAAAACTTGTATGTATTAATCACTCACTTACACCACAAGTGTTCCAATTTAACTTGAAGATTCGATTGCTTATGCTGTTGTTTCATTTTGAAAATAATATTCCAACCCGATTCAAATGAAAACTGTGAAAGTAATGTGCTCATCTATTCTTGTTGAAATGGTTCAACACTAAAACACATTAGATTACAGTAGTTAAGTTTCCAATGTAACTGTGTCCCACTTTATACTGTAGAATGTTGAATACTATTTATTCATTGAACAGTGAATTAAAAATATATCACTACCTTGATCATTAGCAATCATCATAATAACTATCTGAATACTTCAGACTGTGGTACATTAAAAAAAGCTTTTAATGATATTAGTAAGTGGTATACTTGCAGGTTATAAATAACCAAGTTAAACGATGTTCATCACGCTCGTTTATTGGTTATTTAAGATAAAAAATTTTTGCGATAACAAGCAGTCAGTCTTTCCTAAATAATACATAAACTGTGAATTGAAACTATCAATTCTAATGATCAGTAGTTTGAAAATCTTAGTAGCCTATTTATGATGGCTCAGTTATCTGATGAATATGATAATTGTAATGTGAGCTGCCAATCAATATCGGAACGTTAACAATAAGGCTAAATATTTCAAACAAATATGTGATATTACTTTTACTCCACTCATGGTTACACACAATCTCAAAGTTATTGTGTATAATTCAGTCATAGTTATCACGAGTTCCATTGGTATGATCAATTTACTTTTAATTGTCTGCGTCTGATGTGTGAAATAAATGTAAATATGATGTGTGCACAATCATTTGCCATGCAGATGAAATCACATGACTGATTGTTAGTCTCCTTGTTGTTGTAATTCGAAATAATCATTCGATGTTGGTTGGTTTACCTGTTTGAGATTTGATTTTATAGCATGTTTAAAAAAAACAAAATCAATAAGTTGAGTATAGTGTTGTACTTAAAAGTATATATTTTTAAAACGTCTCTTTAAAAAAAAATAACATTTGTAAACTGGCGTTACCTTATTTTGTGGCTAGTTCTATAGTAGTTCATTTCACCAGTCAGACAGTGAAGTATACACACAATAACTATTTGGATCTGTTTAATTTACACGTTATCGATATTTCCTCTTCTGTTCTGTGAACAGAGTGCTTTGTATGTTGAAAGACTCGCTTTTAATGCAATGAAAACAAAACGATTGAGATTTGATTATGTGCTTTTAGGAACTGTTAAATGTCATAGAATTTATTCACTTAGGATATCATAGTTTGCTATTCTTGAAGTGGTGTCTGAAAAAACTTAACCGTTAAATGAGTTAAATCTCATGTTTTGTTGTATACATGAAATAGTCGAATAAGAGGAAACTTCAAAAATGTTAAGAAAGTGCTAGATCAAATTATAAAATCACTCCATGAAGTTACAGATTGGAATCGTTTCAAATCCATTGCATCTGTACTTTGCTTGTTTTCAAATATTAACCATTTCATTCTGTTCTATTTATTTGGTTAATCTTTCTCCATTTGTAACTTTGCTATTGTTAAGTATGATGAATTCGACTGGTGGGAAATCGTATTCAACAGTTACATTATTCTATCCATCATCTGTCAAATTGAATAGTTTCATTTCGGAATTACTTTGAATTAGATACCAAATATTCGTTGATCTAATTCAAGTGAATAATATGTACTTTTTTTTCTATTTCACAGATTCTCTTCAGTTACTTCTCAAGTTTTTATTTTATTTCAAAGTGTTCGGCTAGTTAATTTAGGATTGGTTAGGGAAATGAATTCTTTTGGTGATTCTTTTGTACATATTAATAAAAATCATAGAAATTATGAATGTCTATTTTAGACTAGACTAGCACCGTTACTTCTAGATTACAAAAGCAGCCGAAATAAATGAATTCATATTGTAATGTGAGAGTGGTTTTACCTTGATAGATTATTGTTTTTACATTGAACTATTAGGGAATATCATAATAAACCATAATTTTGTCCACGTATTTTAGGGTCGATCCTTAAACTTATTGGGCACACTCATAGATTTTAACGCTTATCAGGCTTACCTTTTAATATCAGGAAATATTCAATCCCATTTGAATACAACAAACGGTAGTCAGTCTATTCTTGTATAATCGTCTACAGATCAATAAACGTTTTTGTTTCAAAACACTATTTTATTGCCTCAGCTTATCTTCATAACAAATACTGTTATCTCTTTTCAAGGTTTCTGACAGTTTTCAAAACTTTTTTGGTGATTTTACATGGTATACTGCTGTGCATCTCAAAAATATGCCAAATGTTTTGTTGCATAGTCTGCACCTCAACATGCAATTATAAATCCAATACTAGTTCTGTCTCGTGAGTTAATTTAATGGGCTTCGGTTAAACTTTTATATACAGGCTCTTCGGTAATAGTATAAAATAAAGGGATATTTTTTTCTTCAGACTTTTGTCATTGTAGGTGATGGATACTCATATTTATTAACTAGCACGAAAATTTTTTCAAAACGGTATTCAAACAAATGTTTTAATCGATCGTTCTGTTGGTATTTCTCATATTATAACAACCTTAATCATTAATTTCTGCATGAATCATTCAAAGTAAATTTGAACAGTTTATTTAGTGTGATTGACTTGAAAGATTAAGTCACTTCAATTATTTTAAACGACTTTGACGATAAATTTTAGTGAACTAGTGCAATTGTATTTATTTATAATCAGAGTTTCTTTCAACTTAATCATGACTGTTAATCATAAGTATATTTTTTTGAAGCTATATACATATTAGGGAACGTGGGGTATCATGTTCTATAAAGTGTAGAGATAATAACTTTTGCTTACTAAGTTGGTGCAATCAAAGTCGTTCAAGTTGGGTTAATAATCTCCGTTATAGAAATTATGAACTTATCGATGTCAGACTACTGGTAAAAACCTGCAAGGGATGAACAGCCATTTCATCTTAATATTATACTCCTCAGCAGTGCGCATCCATAAGCCCACACGAGGGAGTCAAACCTAGGGCCTCCGATCACGTTCTCACTAGTGAATAGCTTCGAGAAGGAATTCTGGGATGCCTAGTAAAAAGATGTAGCCAGTGGATCTCAGCCATGTCGAAAGTGAGGCAGTTACCTACCAAACAAAGTGGATAATGGTCACGCCATTTCGTGGGTCGATTTAGTTTAGACATTGACATGGTAGTGTGCCA